CTGTGGCTGGCACTAATTGCTATGGATACCGGTCTTTCCCAGCCAGTCTATGCTCCTCTCAAATTGCTTCCAAAGACCTGATGCTGATCAGGTCTTGTGCACGCTGCGTACGACCCTTTCATGAAAAGAGTTGTCAGACTCTGTTGCTTACGGCACCCTCGGAGAATAAAAGAGCATATGGATCCCTGAATGTCTAACCTAAAGAAGATGTATGAACTGCAGCTGTATCCACTGACCATCTTGTGTCCGTGACTCCTCACGTTGTTCCCCTGCTTCACGGATTAGGCCCTTTTGCTAAAAACAGCCGGGTAGTATCAAGCTCTTGGATGAACGCGACAGCACAATGCTGATGCACTCAAGAGTTCTAAAGTTCGTAATACCGCGCTTGCATTCAGGCCAGCTTTAATCTGAGTGCTACCGGAAGAAGTTTGTTGCACAGCTGTTCCGCAGTGTCAGAGGGTTTTTGTAGGCTGTCAGCTCTTCTGGGTCCACTTATTGCTTGCAACCCGCCTGCCTTACACTGAGTAGCTCATTCTACATTTTCCATCTCTTGTGTAAACTGTGATTTACTCCGTTGCTCTTCCACACCGTTGTTGTATAGAGGAGCCGAGGTTTCGGTCTGTGGACGCTATTTACTGGTCAGTTATCGTGATGGCTGTGAACCGAACAATTTACTATACTACTGTGATCTGGCGTCCATAAACTATTCTATAACAGGTACGTACCATGTTCTACTTATTTGTTTGTTTGCATTATGGAGTCATTAATATTGCTTTCGGTTTAATGCCGTGAGATGTACATAGAATTTCTGTGCAGTGTGGGTGCGTTCAGTTGATCTTTTATTAGGATCCAAATCGCTTGGCGTGCTTCGAATGTTCTCCAAAGGTGATGTTGGTCAGTCCTTTAACTCTCCCTTGAGGTTCACACTAGCTGATTCAACAAAGCCGTTCTGTTTGGGAGCTTCAAATAACAACTTCGGATTTGAAAACCTAACGGAAAAGAACGACTTGACCGTGATTCTTTTGACTTATTACTCTCAAAGGGTATAGAGTGTTTTCCATATGGAGGAAAAATGCTGTTCTGTGGGGCGTCGGTTTTATCCCAAGATTGTTTTTCATTTATTTACTGTTGAGGGTTAAAGTTGTCTGGTTGTTTTCTATCAGCTACTACGTCGAATCTCTAAACAACCTGAATTCACACACAATTAACACTACTGGCTTGAGGGCTTTCCGCGAACGAATTACGTCATGCACATGATGGTTGTCCAGTATCAGATTGATGTCACGCTGGTTAGTACGGATTGCTTAACCAGAAAATTTAGCGAAATGCTCCGGTTTTCAGAATGTGGTGACGTCACAGTGGGCTAACCTTGTAAAGTGGTTTGCACCAGTCCTTGCCTAATACTTGCCAGTAGTTGATTCCGCCATGGTTACCGGATTATTAGTGCCAGTTTCTGGCAGTGACAGTATGATTGCAGTCTTAGCTAACAATGACATGGTTGTTTGCTGTGCTTGGGACTTTCGTTTCAGGTGTTTCATCATCAATCGAGGTGACCCCATCAATATATCCTGGTGAAACGGAACAGAATGATGCGTCATTGGGCTTGTGGGCATGAGTAGAAGCTGAAATTAACGAAGAAAATCTTAGTTTGCCGCAACGAGAGCACCAGATCAACTATTCCGAAAAACCTATTCGTATAGTACTACTTGGACTGGAAACAAAACGTTTCCTTATGATCGGGTGGGGAAAGGTAAATTCTGAATGCAAATACAATCTTGTGACGCAGTTCTTATTGGATTCATTTTGAAAGTGATTTATTACCGTAAGGTAGGCCGAAGTCGAAAGCTTTACTCTCTCTGCGTTCACAATTTCGAGACTTTCAAATTGTTTCGAAAGTTTCGGATTCCGAATTCACTCCTAATTTTAGGTACAGGAAGCCATCCCTCATGCACCCTACGGGTCGCATAGCAACTACGCGTCGAAAGGTTTTCATGGTTTTGTTTTCTAAGCATGTTGTGAAGTCCTCCAACCAGCTTTCGCTCGTAAAAGATTTTTTGAATAAATAAAGTTGAGTGGAAGAAGCCGATACTACCTCCAGTTTTGAATTCTTGATCATAAGGCAATCTGATGTACCAGTGAGAATTTAAAAAAAATTCTTTGAGCTACGGAATGTAGTAATCAATAAGGCCAGTGAAACAGTACGCCAGTGAAGCGTCAGTGTCAACACTGATGTTGCTCTCTTCGATTGATTGGTTGATTGAAACCGAAGCCAAAACCAGTTCATCGGTGTTTCTGATCGATTGGGTATAGGCGTACAATATCGAATAAGGATCTGAGTGCTTGAATCTAAGGTGGACAACCTAGCTTGTCCCGCAGATCACCCGTACGATAGGCGAAAGTTCGCGAGTCCGACTTCTTTTATTCTTTTCCTCGTTTACATATGGGTTTCTGATTTCACGGATCACTTTCCCCTTTTTTTTGAAATTCAAGGTATTTTATTTCATTACTATGATAATGATACCGAGCTCGAGATAGCTCAGTGGTTAAGGCGCCAACTCACGGACCGGAAGGTTCGTGGTTCGAACCCTATCCTCAGCATCTTGACTGCTCCTGTCTAGACTTGGGTGACCCGGTAGTATCCCAGCCCTCATGCCTCCTGTTGGTATGGTAACTAGGCACTGAAAGGGTGCTACAGCTGAACGACTCATTATGGTACCGTTGGACCCTGGGATGCTTGCAAAACCGACGCTTCATCTTATTCGTACTGTCATCCAGTAATGTGCTACGCATTCTGCTACTTTCACGGTTTCTCCTTAATCGGTTCTACCTTTGAAGATGACGCGCTTTCGAAGAAAGTTTGTCATTGTGGGCTACCTGGAATGTACTCTCTTTTCATGGTTCCAGTTCCAGACCGTTGTCGACGGAATCTACCACTTAAATCGTTCACTTGTAACGCCCTTTCAATGTCTAGCTGCCATGCCACCCAAAGTAAGCACAAGGGCTGGGGTACCGCCAGGTTTCCCAAGCCTAGACAGGGGAAGTCGAGAGGCAGAGGGGTTCAAACCACGGACAGTAAATTCGCGCTGTAACCAGTGAGCCATCTCGCCCCCTCCGACAGCCCATGACAAGTTTCTCCCTTAGGAGAGTTCAGCCACTGAGTATCCACGACTTATCTTTTACTCGAACCCGAATTACATGCAATTCACGAAATGCACTCACCTGAACATTGGTTTGATTTTGATTGGAGACTGACTCCAGCTGAATGTGTTGTTTGTGGTTTTCAACTGTATGTACTGTCAATAGGAAAGTATACTGCGATATCTCGAATTTCGTGTCAACTGAAGAATGAGGCGGCCTTGTGCAGTAAATTCAGTTGAGGAAGGCCACCTTAAACGAGATATCCATCTGAATTCAGTTCCGTCTCTCGTCATAACCAAATTAATGTGCAACTGAGTGTATTTCGGGAAGCCCCGTCCTCGTGTACAAACCACTACAGTTTGCCTTGTAGGCCTTTTTTCGTCCCCAGTGTGATTAGAAGCAGTTCTTTTCCTGTTGCCCACATAGGCAAACTGAACCTCATTCCAATCGTTAATGAATTCGAAGCTGTCTACGAATACGTGACGAACGAAGGGCCGCTACTGGTTCTGAGAACCAACTTGAATGCGCCAATGTACAAATTAATCACGGTTGACCTAACCAATCCGGATCAGGTACGTCTGTTTGTTCTTTGATTGTACATGTAACTTTTGATTAGGGCTCTACAGCTAACCTACTACTTAGTCCTAATAGAGCATCTCTGGTACTCGTTTCCGGAACTATTCTGGTTTAGCACTTTTACTATTACCGTTACGGATTTTCACTGTTTGCAAGTCAATAAGTAAGCAACCACATATTTTAATTTACTGCAAATTTTCTGTGAAAACTTGAAAAATATAGATCATACAATAAAGTGTGGAGGAACACTCGAGGGGGAAGACGATGTAATAATGCTTTTTAATGACTTTCAAATTAACTATTAACCAAGGATAAACAGGTTTTTTGCGTGTTCCTTCTAGAGACCAGATGTGTTTGGTATTAGCGACATGTTCTAGTTCAAGGGCGTAATGGTATTCTATCACAACAGGGTATTTTGCAAGAATTATAGGCCTCTGTTTAGTAACTACGGAGCCATCGTTGATTCTCTTATAACTTACTGTCACATTTGAATGTTAGTTAATCAGTTTCTGTCAGTTTCCTCAAAACAACCCATATTTGATAACGATATTGCCCATTTCTCAGCCATTCGAAGATCTAGGGACTAAATTTGATGTATAAACCAAACAACTAGAGGCACATCTTTGGACGGCCCTATCGTCCAACTAGGCTTCATGGGTCCATTTTTACTGCGTTTGCTGTGGACAAGTAGACGGATACTGCCTTACTGTAAAACCGCTGTTTCGGCAATGGGTCTCACAATCCTACAAAATCTAGCTCTTTTCAGTATGCAAATCGCTCGTTATTCGGCGTCTGTTATTTATCCTACCTGGACATTTGTCCAAAGCTATGTTTGACCAACAAGCCTCCGAAATTTTCGAAACGTACTAACGAGTATTCTCTTTCATGCGAAAGTGTCCAATAAGCTTCCAACAAGTGGAGCCAAATCGTCTGTCCTCTTCTCTCTATCTTTTCTCAGACCAACTGGAAAGACCTCATCGCTCACAATGAGACAGTTCTATTGGAATGTGCAACCTGTGTTCATCAGGACAAACTTATTGTGAGCAGGTTGCAGGATGTCAAGGTAAGCTGCCTGTTGTCCAATTTCTGCCCATTCTGTACGTTCATGGAAACCCTGTTCAGTTAGGAATGCGCACTTTCGGTTGGAATTAAGACAGCTGATGAACGGCAAGTGTGGTGACATTTTAAACAGCTTCCACCAAACTGACCTTAAGTCACTTCCATCTGGGAGCATTGTATGAGAACCCATAACCGAATAAGATGTAATAATTTGACCTGAACAATAATCGCAATATCATTTATTGGGACGAATTGAGAAAAGTAGAGGAAATTAGTTGCTTATGAAGTGGTCCGCGCTGGTCATGGGGCCCGAATCCCGTTGTTTCAGTCTTGCACCAGCGGATGCTGGCCTCTTATTGATGATGACATCCATACAGGTTGGTTGACCTGTTGCTCACTTGGTTGGTTTGACAGGACTTACTATCCGCGATCATGGGAAATGCCTCCACCTAACAGGCCTTAAATCAACTGACCCGCTTATTTCGGCTAGCTCTTCACGTTCAGTGGAACAAGGTCGTGTTAAGTGAAAAAGTGGTTCGTTTCAAGATTTCACTGTCGAGGCTACTATTGTGTTCCGACCATGAAGGTACACTTCTTGAGTTCTTTGGAAAGATATGCAGATGCACGCGAACTCTCAATGAAGGTCTAGCCCAATGCCGCTTCGCGATGTTATGCCTGTTTACCTACCTACTTTGTTCAACTTCAACCTGCTCTGTTATTTTTGCGCTGTCCACGTTTGTCTGGTATTTCTCGGGTGTTGCGTAAAGCTGTTTCACAGTTGGTTTGATTGGTTCCGTGCGACCTCCCTGAAATCATCATCATCATCGAAAGCATGACATCAGTGTTCAACACCGATGCTCCACTGCCCTGAAATTCCCATTGTAATGAATGGCTTTCAGTCTGGGTGGACACCTGCTCAGTAAAGGTAGAAAAATAATTCATTTCTGTAAGCTCCATTGCTTTTCTGAAATTGGGAATGGACATTCAAGTGGTCATGATGTTTATCTTGGAGGAGTTGGAGGGCAGGATGGATTAGTGGTTAGAGCGCGAATTTACTAACCGGAATGTCCGTGGTTCGAACCCGACTTATGCCTCTTGACTTCCTCTGTCTAGGCTTGAGCGACCTGACAGTATTCCAACCCTCGTGCTTTCTTCGGGTGTCATGGCAGTTAGGCACCGCAAGGGTGCTACAGCTGAATGATTTTTTTAACGATGTTTGTCCATCCGAGGTTGAGCTACTGTGACCGAATGTTGATTGTGTTGGCGTTTGAACGTATCCTCTATTCATGACGTGAGCCCTGTCTCGTATTCGTTTTACGATCCTATGCCAGAACAGTACCGTCGTTGACGAGTTAAACCACTTGGCATGTCAAATTCAACCGTTCAGCTGTAGTGATAAGAGCACGTAGCTACTGTGCTGCCATCCGGTGCTGTGCTTGGCTAGAGACATTGGACGATATGGCAGCTAACCGGTGTCAGTGGTGATCATGCTGTCAGTTTCTGTTTAAATTGTCTGACTGGTTGCCAGAGATTTAGGTATCTCGGACGCTTGTGGTAGGCTAGCCATAGGTCCCCCCTTCTACCCAATTTCGTTCTTCTTTCCATTATAATGCTTTGTTCAGATAAATCGACATGGTTGTGCGGCAGTGAAGCACCAGTGTTCTCATCTCGTGTTGTTGCTAATGATGATGATGGTAATGTTAGTGATGACCTCAGATTGCCTAAGGTTATACAGAGGAAAAGTAATGGGCGAATTCAGACCATAATCCCTTCTGTCCCCACACCAAGTATGTCACTCCAGCTGACGCTTGTCGACCGAGCAGCTGAAACTACGTTTTTCCTTGTTTCGACCTACCTGATGCCTATATGTATATACTCGCTTCCTTCTGTCTGTCTTCGTTTCAGAGCCGTTTGTCTGTGCATCAATTGAAAACAGGCGAAAAAATACAAGATCTCGAGTTGCCTTTGGGTAGCGTTTGTGGGATTACTGGTCGCAAGCGCGATACAATCGTACGTCTTCTTCTACAGTACACATTTATTCCGTTGTGACGTTTATGCTTGGGCTTCTTGCTTTAGCATACTCATCAGCCGAGCTTACGCTTTTCCATTCTTTCAGGCGTTCATCCGATTCACTTCTTTTCTAACTCCTGGGCAAGTATTCTCGTGTGACCTAACGAAGGAGCCTCTCAGTCTAAAGGTATGTCTCCCGTTATGTTGCGGACTCTCGAAATAAGTGTAACATTCTCGCACTCCTTTCGACCTTCGGCTTTACCTCTTATTTCAGTTCCTTTGTGTTTACATCATTACGGTTGTTCGGAGCCTGCCGGAACCACAACCCTGCCTTTAACACGGGAACTACAACTAGAGCTCTGTTGGTGCTAGCAATGCACAGTTGGGATCGGTCTATGACTTACTTCCATGCAGTCGATCGCATTCTTCCCTGCCGTACTTTCATGACTGAATGGGAGATGGATGGTCATTTAGTCATTGTCTGGCAGTGTTCCGAAAATGTGGTGCTCTTAATTTGTACTAGTTTTACGAATCTTCCTCATGGAGAAGGATGATGGGAGTGCAGGACTGGTCTAAATCCCTACCACCTACGAACTACCATCAGCCACATAGCTGGGACATAATCGTGGAGTAACATGTGGGTTTGTGTATGTGCTCCGTGTAGTGACACACGGTTTTGTTCGAAGTTGCATCTCTAGTCTTTGTATAGCCAAGTACAGACTGTAAGATAGTGGGCAGCGCTTGACGAGCAGGACTGTTAGACTAGTTCTTGCTGATCTCATTTACCACCTCTGTTGAGTCTGGCATGTGTTCGAGTTCGCTTCTCTAGCCCTTGTACATCCAAGTAAACCCTCTTTGCGATAGCGTTTGCCTTTTCCTGCTCTCGTCATTGGGCCTACATACCACATTTTGAAAGACCCGGTTGCTTGCCAAAACTTCAACTCTGGTAGCACCGCCACCAGCGTCCCATTGATCCATGTGCACCGGCTGTCACAGTGGTTAACACTAAGGGGTATGACGACAAAGTGGTAGATTTTGTTACAACGGGACTGGTTGACACACCTAAAAGATTTCTGCATTTTCCAACACTAGGACACCTGTGGTCGTCATTTCTGCAAATTTCCATTCTCCGTGATTGTATCGAGTTGCCGATATACCCAAACATGAATTGGGGCTGTAATCCGTGAGGTTCCCAGATGAATGATAGTCGAATCGTCGTCGGGAAATTTGCATACGAGGCATACTGCTCACATTATGTGCGACAGATTTGCCGATGCGCAATTTCACGAACGTGGGTTTTCTCTTGGCCCGTCAGTAATCTGAGAATGGCTGCGCCTCATCGATAATTAGACGCTACCTTCAGTAAGCTTTCAGGGGGACTACGCTCACTACTCGTCGTCTGGAAATTCGCTCTGGGTTGAACGCCAAGTTTCGGCCAATACTTAGCTTTTATTACCATCCTTTCTTGCTCCAAATTGTTTGGGAAAACTTACTCCTTACTTTGTTAGACGACGGTGGGGCGAAAAACAACACCCTTCATGAGATAGACAAGAGTAATATAGACGAAGATTTTGAGACCTCAACACCAACTGGAATCTGACCTCACACTCGACCTATCTGTTTGATTAAAGATCTTCGGATGGCGTGTGCATTTACAGACATGTTGCTCGCTGAAGTCAACAAGCTATGAACGCGTTTGCTGTCGTCTGTTAAGAGATTCTTATTCCTTGTATTCTTTCTTTACACCTTACATAGTCCCTCATTTGGCATCCATTTAGTTTATCTAGGTCTATGTTTTCAATCGTTATGCCGTAAACCCATCGCCTTGTTTCAGGTCTGCGACTGACTGCCAGTGCGATTGTACACTTTTTACCGTTCTCATATGTTGAGCAGTTGAGTGGGCTATTGTGTCTGAGTTGCATGTAATTCACCTGCTTATTCCGTTCCAGTTATACCACCCTAAATCAGGCTTCGTATATTCTGCGAAACGCTTTTCTGATCACCGGTTCTTTTCTGGTTACTCTCGCTCCTTTGCGACCGAGAACATTCAACGCCTTAGCACTTATGACACCTAATTTAAGTTCACTTTTCGTTTCCATATGCACAGAACACATGCAAAGTCATGTTGCAAGCTGAGAGAGACACACTGTTAGAGCCACTTCATTTTTCGATAACCGTCACTGGGGGTGAACTCTACACAGAATCAACTGGTGCTCCTCCAAAGCCCTAACTGATGTTCGCGACATGAGAGACACAATAGTTCATTTGAATTGATTTAACAATGGTGTGTAAATCTTCCCCATGATGGATAGTCACAGGCATTTAATGAGAAATGTAACGAAATTAGCTTTGAAAATTTTAGTGAGCTATTTCCAGGAGTACCGAGAAAGCCGGATGTCACCACAAACTCGGTAGGCGACGCGAGTCTGATTGCACTGATGACTTCTCCATGCAACTGTTTATCTTTCGCCGAAAATTTCAAGGTTCTGCCTGTTAGCAAGTTACGATGGAACAGTTGTTAGTCATTGCCTAGTATGGCGAATGATTCAAAACAAAGGCTGCATCAAGGTATCATTTAATTGGGACTGGTGTGCTCAGACGACCGAGGAGTTTGAGTACGCTTATCCACCTTGAAGGACAGCGTGTAGAAAACAAAGTTTTTCTGATCATGTTAAATTCTGAGATCGTTGCGAGTTTGACCTCCTTGAGGTAGGAAACAGTTGAGGCGCTACAGACCAAAGTTTTCTAATAAGAGAAAACTTCACTTCGAGTGAGGTTCAGACGTCTTCATAAAATGCTAGATCTCCCGTTTTCGATACCCTCGAACTTGAAAAGGGTCCAACTAGAAAGTAAAGGACCAGGTCAGAACGGGATGACACTTCACCGAATCATGAATGGTAGAAGTCCAATCCAGACCGTTAAATGACTTAATTTTTCATTGACGTGGTGTGCAAAAACAAGATAATAAAGGGTAGCTGAACTCATACGGGAGAACTGTCTATGGTCTGGCATTATATTTCTCTGATAGATAAACGTCACGTGGTTAGTTCGGGCGAAAAAGTCGCTGTCGATTCCTGCTCATGCATGGTTAACGATTACTTCTTCCCATTCTGCGGAACTAGACCAGGGAAAGGGGTATCTCAAGGTGGCAGCGCCATGATTACCGCATCGCCCACTCCACGAGATCATTACTTCTCTTCCGAATAGGTGGTTGTTAGATTTTTAAGCATGCAGATACAGACACGAAACCTTTCGAAAACAGGTGAGACACAGTCACAAGACATATCTGACTGCTTCTAGTACCTTTGACTGAATAGTAGTATCTTGAGTGTATAGTTGAACTTGAGGTGGAAACTTCGACGGTATTTAATGAAGAGTATACAAAACACTATCTTTTAGTGACAAATTGTGGAAGGTATCACACCCTGAAATGCGCTACTTTTTTTTAGTTTGGGCTGGCGTTTGGCGCCATTGATGACAAATTCAGTGAACAACCGCCTTGGACAACGCGTTACGACTCTGAATGTTCTAAGTTGAACGAGGGTTTTTCGCACATTATCTCTTGAACAGTAGAGAAATATACAGCTTCAGAAATGGGTTGTGTCATAGCAGTGACGTTGGACTTATAGTGATTCTTACTGTGCTCACATAGTCACTCCTTTTCAGGTATAAGTTTTGGTCTTGCTCACTTTCGCATTCCCCTCTCGGTGAACAGATCTTTCGCGAGTCCCGCCTGAGTTCTGTCGACTTGTCTGCTTTCACGGCCAAACAAGTGTTCTACGAAAGCAAGGATAAAACTCGAATCCCGATGTTTATCGTTCATCCAAACGTAAGTCCATCAACCTGTTACGAAAGTACGTAACGTACCTCCCTCTTGAAACACAGTTTTCTCTCTGCATAATGGAATTTAATCTAATAAACGCCTCGAATATAGAAAAGCCGCCCAAATCTGTTCGACTTAAAAATTCAGTATTTTGTGTAAGCTGAACAAATTTCACAATTCAATTTTTTGCTGACGGAACTCGTTGTCCTCCACAGGAGATTGACAATTGTGAGATATGATGAAAAAGAGATATCAGGTGACCGTGCATTGAAAATTCATTAATTCATCCCCAGATGAAAAGGATGATGGGTGTTTTGTCCAAATTGAAGGAGAATGGCAGCGGCCTTGCGTGGCTTATTAGCCTTGGTTGCGTACTGATCGCGTGTTTTCCTGGTGTTGTGGCTTGTTGAAATCTGTGCAAATCTTCTGGTGGTTGGAAAGCAAATTTCTTATGTCCTCGATTCTGTCCTCGCAGTGAGAAACATTTCCCTAATGGTTCAAAGGTAATTGCAAGCCACAGTAATCCTCTAAGACAGACCCCTCCGAAATAGGCTTACCTTTTAGGAAGATTACAACAAGCGTTCCCCATCTACAGCCCAATATGCTTCCCAATAAACACTTTTATCCTACAGTGATTTTTTTTTGGGGGGGGGGGGTCATTACAGGTTTATCTAACTAAACTACCCTTTTCGGACAAGAACATGTTGGATCGTATGCGGTTTATAGGTAACCGACCCTACTTATGATTATTTCCGTTTTGTGGAATGTTCCTCTCTTCCTTGCATGAAGTGAGCAGTTTCGGAAAGAATTCCTTGGTATGGTTGCATCCAAGCACTCTTCATTCGACAGTTGCAGTCCAATGTTGCTGACATTCTACATCGGTTAAAAAACTACGGCTTTATGTCTCATTCCCGCTATGTGAATATGTCCCAATGTATGAGAAAGTTCTGTTACGCCTGGTGTTTATCGCGTCTCCCCATTTTCGAATTGCTTCCAAACATTTCTCCTCTATCTTCACTTAGGACTTGGTTTTGGACGGATCGCGCCCGTGTCAACTTTACGGTTACGGGGGTTTTGATATAGCTATCACTCCGGCATTCAGTATCAGTCAGCTCATGCTCCTCCTACATTTTGGTGGCATTGTGGCCATTGCAAACATTCGCGGTGGCGGGTAAGTCATAAGAAACACTGTCACAACTAGTATAGCGCACTTCTCGGACGGACTGTACTAGGACCAGACTGGTTTTCATTCTGCTCAGGTGTTCCCTTTACTCTACTCTTCACCGTCTTCATCCAGTGAATATGGCAAACCTTGGCACGATGCTGGCAGGCGGAAGCATAAGCAAAATTGCTTCGATGATTTTCAAGCAGCCGCTGAGTATCTGATTGCTGAACGCTACACTAGTCGTAACAAGTGAGTTGGTTGAAATTCTTGTTTTTTTTGTTGGAATTAGCACCCGATAATTAACTACTCAGTTCAAAGAGTTTCTACTGAGCAGCTTATGGCCTTTGAACAATAATTTTTGCGTACACGGATATTACTGACGTCATAAAATGGTGGGACCAGTGGATGAAGATATTCGAAACCCGTACACTACTGAGGGTTCTAGATAATACGCTTCGAAGCTCATTACACTCACCAGTCTCTGGGATACAGTGCACGAAATTATGAATAAACAGGCTGTTTGGTTAACATACATCAACCTGTACTTGCCTGTTCGGTAGCATTACGAGATGGCAGTTCGAGGTAGTCGGTGGCTGTTTCACCTTATTCTTGTATTTTAGAATAGTCCTTGCTTTTTATCTGCCAAATGTATGTGGACTGCAGTGTAGGTCGCAAAATTGCTAGCGAATCCCATGTTGCCTATCCATTATTATTTCGTTTGGAATATCCTATTACAGTCCCTACTCTGTTAGCTGTTATCCCATTCCGCAAAGCTCATGTTCTCCTACTCTGCCACTGTTCTTTAACTTATCCTCGAGGTTGTACATTTCCGGTGGAAGCAATGGAGGACTACTCGTCTGTGCTTGTGCAAACCAGCGTCCAGATTTGTTTGCTGCGGCTGTGTCCCATGTGCCGGTTTGTGATTTGCTACGGTTCCACAAGTTCACCATCGGTCATGCTTGGGTCAGTGATTATGGAGATCCAGAAAAAGAGGAGGACTTTAATGTACTACTACGGTAATTCTCATTTAGTTTGTCTTGAATACTGCTTCGATGACTGTGCTGTAGTTTTTCTACCCGGCTCGTGGCAGCAGCAATTGCCTTATTGCTTCATGCAACACCAAATCTTGCGAGTTAGCGTTTCATGTTTTTTCCTCTTTATTCCCTTCTAGGTATTCACCCCTTCATAATGTCAAAGTTCCCGACGATCCCAATGTGCAATACCCTGCGATCCTGATTTTAACAGCTGACCACGATGATCGTGTTGTCCCTCTACATGCTTTCAAACTCCTTTCAACCCTTCAGTCCACATTTTGTCACAATGGTTCAAACCAAACCAAGCCCATTCTAGCCCGAATCGATACAAAGGCTGGTCACGGAGCTGGGAAACCAACGTCGAAAATGGTTAGTCAACTCATCCTGTGATCGGATCCGTTGAATGTTGTCTTCCATATTTGGGTTGATTATAGGGGGGGAGGCGAGATGGCTTAGTGGTTAGAGCGCGAATTTACTAACCGGAAGATCCGTGGTCCGAACCCGACCTCTGTCTTTCGACTCCCCCTGTTTAGGATAGGGCGACTTGGCAGTATCTTTCCTTCCGGTGGCATGGCAGTTGGGCACCTGAAGGGTGCTACAGCTGAACAGGGTTTTCCAATAATTTGACCTTTCTATCACTGTGGAGCAAAGTAATCGGATTCACAAATAACAGAGAAAACTGGTTTGACCAGTACCTATCGGTGTGCAATCAACTTTTGAGTTCAGCTGAGTACGCTGTTGGTTGGTGTCTGTAATCCCTGAACACATCACCAACTGGCCGTGTTGTATTTGAATTACCAAAGCTACTGCACAATACCGTTCTGCGTGCATTGCCACGCTTTCGCGATTTGGCTGTGGTTTTACGCCTCTTATGTGCTTTATCTGGCCAGCAGTCCGAACAATTTCATGGTTTCCGAATGGGATTAGGCGAACAGCAAATTTCAGATATTGCTTACCACATCGATCTTTTCGGCACGGGACAACTTTTAACTCATTGTAGCTAAGCCCCATGTAAAAAAATCAGCACCTCCGTTTTTAATGCTACGTGCCACGTGGCCGACACTGATAAGATTGTCTACTCGTCTGATGTATTGCATTTTTCTGACGAACGGCTACTACTTCGGTTTGGGGGTGGGTCTGGGTGTTTTGTTTAACCGCTGCATACGAGTCATCTGATCGGTAAACAGATGGTGGACATTGGATTTCATTCTGGCAAATGACGGGTGTCGGTTATCAAAATCAGAGAACGTTGTGCTCCACATCCTCCACATGTTTGGATGCGGATAAATTTGTTAAGTTTGGCATTTATCTCACACTTCATGGTGTGGGATTGGGATAGGCATTACTCGATCCGATTGGCACGGGTCATCTGTGCCACCTATCCTCGGCCTTGTGCAGTTCGACTGGAGTTTAGTTGAGCCATACTGACCAACATTAGACGGCCGGCGTTCGACGCGCAAAAAGAATTGACAATGACCTTGTGTCTACCATGAAACCGACCTTAAATTTTTGTAATCCCTTCTCACCGTTTGTTGCCACATCCCTGTCTTTTACGTGGCGAATCTTCTTTGTCTGTAGTCGATGGAGCGGATGAAACTTTGGCACATCGCGACCTGAATTCGGGTCGTATTTTGAGTGGGTCCATAGACATCCTCTTCATCTTACACCTAACGTCGCATTAACCCGATCGGCTTACTTCTCATGCAGTCGTGACTATTCGTTGCTTTCCACTTAACTAGACCCTGCGTCTAAAGGCGTTTTATAACCAGTCGACACGGGTGTAACCAATCTGCAGGACGTTGTAAGTTTCCGGTCGGCCGGCTAAATGAGTGAGACTGCTTTCGGAATAACCTAATAGTATCCTCAAAACCTCCGACCACTCGTTATTCGCAATACCTAGTAGCATGACATGACTTATCCCGAAGTGAACCTATACATTCTCATACCACTTATGTGTCCTAAAACGCGATCCCGTTTTTTCGTTTCAGATTGAAGAGATTGCCGACATATATGCATTTCTCCAAGTAGCACTTGATCTCACTTGGTGTGATTAGTTAAAATGCTCTCTTGGATAAAAAAAACGTTCTTCTTGCATCATTTGATCGCTTTCTGGTTTCGAGTCCTTGGTGTTTTTTTAAATGAACGTCGTTGCTTGATTGATCTTGTGTTTTGATTTTGATGTTTGGGGAAGTGCTTTCCCATCAGACATTGAATTGACAATATAAAATTGAGAGTATTGTTGGCACAGGTGGTCCATTCTGGAGTAAGACCCCTTAAATCAGAGTGTGTCCTATCTTGACATTTGAGTATGTGAGTTATGATGCCTCCTCAGCCGTTAAACAATTGAAATCTCGGAATTCGCTCCGCCTATTTTCGCGAATAATACCAGAATGACGGTCGAATCATCCGCTAACTACCCAAAACCCGTCATCTCAGAATCTGTTATTCAGTTTTCACCGCAAACGACTGTTTGTTCCCATCAAATCCGAACAACTTTTCGAAGAAATGATCATGCCCCTGTGTACCTTCGCAGAAGAAATATCGAGAGTGACCACAACGTTTATTCCTAAAGGGTTGACTTGTGACGTATGTTCTGTACCCTCAGGTAGTGAAGATTCTGTTCTACCAACTAATTTTAAACAGCTTTTGTGAGTGTGCGACGGAATACCATACTTCTGCTGGAATGATTGGCGAGGCTGTCCAGTACTGTTATATATCTTTGACTAGTATGGACTAGTGCAAGATAGTGATTCTGTGTGTCAGTCACCAGCCTATACGATCTATGGTGTCACAAACTACTGGACTTTGTGTCGCCTAGGCAAACTTGAATAAGGACCATAGAGTACCTCAACGTCAGAACGAGTGTAACTTCCAAGTGGCCTAGTTGGATAATGCAATTTATACATAGGGACGAGTCCCCCCAAAAAAAAGAACAAAGTAACTTCCCCGATTGCTGGTACATCGGCCATTCGCTCCAGGGTGTTTGTTGTAAACCAAAGACGTTTTCCATCTTTTGAGTGAATTTCGTATTTCATGGGTGGACGGATTGCATTTGTGCATCTAAGTAATGTTACGGTAATAGTAAAGGGACCAGTTTCCGACAGCTGGAACGAATACACAGTTCGTGGGTTACTGCTTGTAGATGGCAAGCTAATTTTGGAGTAATTAACTAGAAAAACCACCAGAAAGGGTTTCGAAATGACCAGTAGCGGGTGAGTGGAACCAAAATCAGAGATGGGGCAAATTGATAACACTCCTAACCCGTTTGACTGAGGGTAACCGGTATTTGTCCTAGAACTTTCATCATCTGAAAAACCTCGGTTGGCGGTCGCCGTTCATTTCACCGTGTTTGGAGGATAGCTTAAGCTCAAGGTGTTCACCTTTATCGTGACTGGCTCACGGTGAAAGACAAATTAGCTTCGCAGATTTTGTGCGCTAGAGCCATGTTCTGCGGCAACATTTGCACATCGGACACCACAGACGAGTGAGGTGCCAAGGTGACGTGCGATTTGACGGTGGGCAAACAGGTCTTCAGTCTCTCGGTGACGACGCTGACCCTGACAGAGGCATGGGTTGGGGGCCTTCGTCGCAAGCTCCACATCGGATTTACGGCTTGTTCGAACCAGTTCAGCCAGCCCGGATACACCATAACGGCTTCGGGTTGTTCCATTGAAGACCTAGTTCACCACTTTGCTTCGGATCGAGCACTCATAATTCTTGCATGTCCTCGCACCATAGTGGCCAGATCTAGCCTCTATAAAATAGGGTAAGACAGACAGGCTGATATATGTAGACTTTGGTTCTGACTCTAATCTCTGTCACCATCAATTCTCACCCTAATTTTATTGTTTTTGTGGCTTTATTAGTGCATAGCTGAGGATGACCATAATACAACTCAGGAAATACATGCACTTAACTGTCTTTACTGTGGTTGACAGTGGTTTACAGAAACGATTTGCAGCATGTATAAAATAACGGACAATATTAAATGTGGAGCAAGTCAACAGGGAACTTATCGTATTTGAGAGTCCCTTGGTAAAAGTTCGGACGGTGGGAACGTGTTTTCTCCGCAGTATGGCTGCTACACGTGTTCCATGATTGTCCGTGGACTTGGAGTGCTTGGCTGATTCCTTGCTCCCTGCACGCGCGCGAGTCTGTGTGCTGACTGGGTTCGGCTTCCCTTTTTGTAGGTCCCAGTGCGTATACGTGGGCGGGTCGGCACATGAGTGGTTGCTACGCCGACTAGGCGGTGAAGACAATCGATGTCCGATGAGTCAGCTTAATGCGACGTGTTTGTGCGTATGAGAAAAAGACAAGCCTCGCGATCCAGTGAGCGGCTGTGAGTTGAACAGTCAAGTATGTGGATGACTGGGTCGCTACAGCCTTCGCGAAGATGCAGGAATCGAGATATTTAGAGGCAAACGCCATTTCATTAATGGAGTTTTTCGTCATGAGCGATTTTTTTTCAAACTTTCTCGAGTATATGGCGAGAAGCCTTTGTCTTAGCAAATTCGATTTCGGGATTGGATCCAAGAGTATATTGCCGAACCTGGGCTAATAGTTGTGCGATGTTCTTCGGGTTGTCGCCCAGGAGAACGACATCTTCGTATTCAAGAATGCCTTTTGAGGTATCCAGTGTAAGTTACAAGCCTCTGAGAGCTGATAAGTGTCCTCAGACAGGAATGACCCATTCGAAATCTTTTGGTCATGCCGAACGGCCCTTGTTTACTCAAACGGAGGGAAAGGTCCCGACTCATTGAGGCAGGATGGAACGGTTACGTGATTTTTAACCGCAGTTCACCCCCGCCGTAAGGTCAGCTCCGGTTTTCGAAGAAAGGATAGTGTTGATAAATCGTCACGTGGAAACTACTGATAAATTTTGCGCAATCGAAACAATAAACAAAGGTCCCATTGTATTACCCAATAAAAGCCATTCAGAGTGAATAGCTTTTTCATCGACTGGCTTTATAGCATACTATTATTGATAGGAGTGACATGCGAGTAGTATGTTTTCTCGTAAATCCGCCTTGCGGATATCTGTTGCGGAATTTATGGAGTCGTTTTGTAGCATTTGCTTGGATTTGAGTAACACTCAACGAATATCCAGGAAAGTTCAGGAAGACACGTTCAAAGAGAAGACGGATATTCAGTTTTTGTAAACAAGATGCATATGAGAGTTTTTCTTCCCTGTCCAATAGTCTGTAACTGGTCAGTTGGCATTTTCTAATAAACAACTCTTCAGCGAAGGCCTTCTTCCTTTTACCAGTATTCATATTCGAAGTGGGCATATCTCTTCAATGAATTTGCGTAGTTGCTCGGTGTAAATTAGGTACCTGACGCTCGGTCGCATCTTATACTGAATAAATATTCAACCCACAAGTAAGCCAACACGGTGCTCAGCCCTTTCGATTATTACCTGTTCTTCCTTGGCTTAGAAATTTCAGTGAATGGCTACTGCGTCAACAAATCTCAAACTTCAATCATAAGCATTGTAGGGGAGCAGCGAGACTTCAGATTAGCTCAGTCTCAGTATCCCACGCAATATCGCAGATTCGTACGACATCATGTTCGCTTATTGTGGTAGGCCGGATAGGGTCCGTCGCGTCGATCGCACTTTGCGGAAACCTTCTTTAGCGCTTTAGTAGGTTACTAGTGTAACTAACTAGCGTCTGATGCCTGTCAGTCAATAACCTTGGACTGCATTCGATTGTCGCCTTCCATATCTCTGGCACCATGGGGTTGGCCGGAGTGAAGCCGTTCCCCCTAACAAACACTTGAGTGTGGTTAGGCCTGTGAACTCCTTCAGTTTTCGCGGTAGTAGGAGTACAACTTCCACGGGATAACGGAAGCAGTTTCCGATTTGTGGGACTGAGTACTAGAGCCTCAGTTGGTTTACAAATGACGGCTGATGAACAAGATGTCAGCTATCAGGTAAGACTCAGGAGCAGGTCAGGTGTTTCGCATCCTTGTCTCAATCTCGCCATTGGGTTTTGTTAAGAAAAAAAGTAGTTTGTTCACTTTGAGTTGTCGTACATTCTGTCCGCACGGACAGAATCCAAACCGCCAACGGCAATGAGAGCAGGATCGTGACCAGTTGCAGTTTTCCGCCTGATAATGACGCTCTAAATCACTGCGTGATCCCTTCCTGCAAAAGATGTAGAACGTAATTGCATGGCTTGATTACATTTGCCCGGATTAAAAAAAGATACCCGAGAGAATCTAGTTAAGTTATTCACTGCTTTGTTGTGGAATGATCGGGTAGGAGACGCATCTCGGAAGAGCCAACAAATGAGTTGTTTCACCTATACCTTTTCCTTTCTGTGACCAAATATTCTATTCGTACTACTGCCCTACCCATTATACTGCATCGGCCACTCGCCGTGTTTGAAGGCTGTTGAACGTTGACTTTTTTGTCACCAGACGCTGTAGCAGAAGGATATGTTTGTCTGAGTCTTGAGTCAATGGAACGGAGGAGAAAAGAAATCGAAGTGAAAGATGACCGCCAACTTCAGTCAGGACAGGTAACCGTCTTTATCCTATAGAAAATACCAGGAATAGGTTGAAAGCAGGAATCCTCGGGGGTACATGGGCAGTCGACTTATTTTCCTCGGCCATTGATACTCCAAGCACTGTCCTCCGCTCAAGACAATGAATTGATCATATTTACTAAGTTACCTAAATAAGCGGTCAGAATCCCTAAGGCACTATGTGGATCAGTAGTCCGCATCACCCAAACAAATCATGCGGCTCAGATGACTAGTCTTCGCCGCTATGGGTCATGGTCGCGGAATGCAGATTCTACACTGCTTCCTTTGAAGAGCCGCGCTGCATGTGCATATCAACGTCAAAAGCTGGGATAAACCGTCCACAGTGTTGACACGCGCTCATTTGATTCTCAGTAAAGAGGCTATCAAGTGCTATGCAACTTTGGTGAACTGGCTACATATAAGCTGTCAAACAAGTCATTGGGATTTGGGATTTTACTTGCCTTGAGATTCGACGAAGCCAAATAACAACTAACCAGATTCCCACACTCTGGCAACAGTCTGTGATTCGCGTTTCGATTTCGACAGTTCAGTTGGGAGTTTAACGATGGACGATTGCTCATATCAGTCCTTCGTGTGTACTGGTTTCTCACCCTTGCTCACGATATCCCATTATAACTCATGGAGTTTTTTGGTCTGTTCCTCTAGACATGCTGCTGCAAATATCTCCAAGATAAATAACTCAAGCGGTTCAAACTTATCTATTTTTCTGGCTAAACTGACATCCCCAAAGGTGACCTTTCCACTTTCAAATGTTTCACTCATATTGGAAGATGTTTAGGACCGATCGGGTAGTCATGGGTTCAGAGAGGTTTGGTAACCAAATCCGCCGAGTGTTTACAAGTGTTTACTCAGATTTTCTGGTGCTCTTTTATCGTAGTTTGGTGTAACGCCGTCCTGCTTAAACTAAATGTCACCATTTAGACGCAGCTCCTCCAGCTCTGGGCCCGTTCGATAAACATGGAGCGAGTAGAAGCAGACTTCCAAGGTAACACTTACGGTTTCGGTTACTCAAAATCGAAACCGCCCGATAATTTTGATGCTAAGAATAACAGCTCAAACCGTCATCACATACCTTGTTTGAATGCAGTAAGGTATGTAATGACGAGAGCTGCATCTAACTCTCAATTTACCACTCAATTGAACAATGGTCCTGTAGCCAAACAAAGTGGAGGAAGCACTTCTACAGATGTGTCCTCTTTTCATGTTATTCTGCTGTATATGCCGAATCCGCAGTTCGAAAAAATGCCGAATTCGCTGTTCGTGCATAATCCTCTGCATCGCATCATTGTCCGATCATCCATATATTTTTCCTAATTTCCAACTGATTTCTGGAGAACTTGATACGCCGGCATCATCGTTGGATTTGCGCGGCCGGTCTGTCTTCTCTGTGTCGTTTACACTACGACTGAATCGATATCTCGCTACAGGTCCCCCAACTTATCTGTTCCTCACTGACTATATCCCGGCTGCGCTTGTATCCGCAGTCCCATCTGCGGATGGGACACACACAGTCTCCTTACATACCATCCGCACTCGAGTGCCGGATGATCCGATCTCTCCTGACTAATCGACGCTGACATTAGCTATTTTTACTCTCAGTGTGTCACTATAATCCTTGTCAGTCTGTTTTGCGATAAACAGACGTCGACCATCTTTCATCCGTCTGGCCTACTGTTCCAACAGGATAGCAGACGAGACTTCAGGCTTTTTAAACCCGAGGATAACACGCGATTCTGACAAGCCTTGGCACAACAGTGGATCTGTCTCGCAACGAGACCGTTCTCCGATTGAGTCGTCGGATCTCCGCACTGATGATTTTCCCGAGGAAGTTGAGGTACTTAGCTAAAACGTATGAGATTTCAGGTACGACCGTCATCGATAGTCCATCATGACGTCAAAAGTAAATTAATGTAAGCAACACAAATCAGAGATGACTTGCAGCGGAAAATCGGTGATTCACGGGAAGGCATCTTGCCACTATGTGTCTCGCAGTACATGCCCACCTAGTACTGACCGTAAGAACATAGCCATAAAAACTTTCAACGGTTAGGTATGTGTGATGGCGCTTATTGAACCACCAGGAGAACCGATTATAGTCATCACATCACTGTACTCCAATGTT